AGTATTATTATTTTATATCTAAATCGATCTAAATTGATTTATTACAACAAATTATCTAATCAAGCCATTTATAATTATTTGAATTCATTAAAATAATAATATTATTATAGAATTTTAATATTTATACCACAAATTGAAATTATATTTCCAAAAAAATTTAATTCAACAAGCATATTTTTACATACTTTGTATAGATTTTTTTTAGCAATAATAATAATTTATTCAAGTTTTTACTATATTTAACTTTTATTTATGCATTAAATTGTTGTATATTTTGTTTATACCTTTTTATTTATAATAAATTGGACGATTTATTTCCATAAATAATATATTATTTATTATATATAATCCCATTGCATAATATTAAGAGTCTTGAATAAATAATAACATAAATTAATACGCATAATATACCTTTTTTTTACAAATAATCCATTGTATAACTTCAAATAATACATATTTTAATATATAATTGTATATAATAAATTTGTGTAAGTTTATAATTATTTTATAATAAAAATAACTTATAACTATTTCATGCATTTAGTTCATTATTTATCACTGCTAATTTTTTTAACGAAAATTAGAAATTTATTAAATAAGCTCGTAAATATAACTGCTATTATATAAAAAGAAACTGATAATGTTAATCAATGATTTACTTAATAAGGAGTAAAATTTTTCCAAAAATATTTGCAATATTACATCATTTTCGCATTCAACACGTTTCAAAAGTTATTTCCTACGTTATGAATATTAATTTCAATCTAGCGTTCTACTTTGAGCCCTAAACGTCTTAATTAAATAAAATTTAGTAATCATATTTAGTAATCATATAATCGAGAGAAATACATGAAAATAATTATCTTTTTAAAAAACAAAATAATACAAAGTTATCCTTAATTAATTTAATTAGTCACTGGTCATCCTTGTTTCATTATTTAATAATAAAAAAAAATTACGAAGATTGAAAACATAGGTTTTAAAAATTATTCCTGATTTCAAAATTGTAAGCATTCGAATTATAAAATAAATTTTTTTTTCTTTTTTCTTCTTTTTTTTTATTATTATTTTTCTTTTGTCGTTATTCAGAACATTATTAAAGAATAATGAAAAAATATGGAAGTAGATGCAAAAATTTTCCAATACATTTTAATGCAATAGGTACACTCACAAACAATGCGTGAAAATTGTCGGCACTTCTTTGTAATTCACAAGTTGAAACTTAAGGCACTCGTATTTTCTACACTGACGCATAATAAATATAGCACGTGTTTAAATTTACATAAGCCAACAATGGGAAAGATTCAGGTAGGATGGAAGATTACGTCGAAGGCGTTGAAAGGCGTACCACAACACCCGAAATGCCGAATATTTAATCGCACAGATTTCGTAGACTTTTCTTCAATGTTAATCTAAGTACAACTATCTTTACTACACACAATTCTTGGTTTATATTTTCTCTTCTCTCTCCTCGCTCGCACACTTTATAACTTTTTCTTCTTTTTCTTAAAATTACAGCTACCTTGAAGTCCAGTATTACGCATTGAGATTGCTGTCTCTGTTACTTATAAGATTTTTCCCCCTGAATTTATATAAATGTGTTTTCATGAGAATTTTCATATATTATTATTTTATAAGACATCAGATACTACAAAAATATAAATCATTCTTTATAAATGTTTCATTTATTAATGAATACAAAGAAATTTTCCTTATCATTATTCACATTTCACATGTCAGTCTATTAACATTGTTGTTATTGTTGTTATTATTATTATTTGCAATAGTATATTAAAATTAAATTAGAATATATATTAAAAAATCAAATTTTTTATGTTTAAAAATTTTTATTAAAAATTGATGTCTAAATTTAAATGTTTAAATTATTTATTAAATTTCTGTTTAAAAGCACAAGAATTATAGACTACGTATACCAAACTTGTGTTATTTATTTTATTGAATAGATTATTATTTATATAGATATAATAGGTATACTAAACTATAATAAATGCCTACGATATTATAACACTAATATTTTACTATTAAATTGATATTCATAATTGTTAAATTTTGTCACCTTTAATATAAAAAAAAGTATATGAATTATATTTTATAATAAAAATATCATTTTAACTATTAATAATATTGTTATTAAGTATTTTGAAGGAACAACCATAAGAAAATAAACAATATTTGGCATATAAATTTCATTATCTATATTAAGAAATATCTCTAAAAGAAAGATTCTAGAATAATAAAAAGTGCAAAGGCTTCAAATGCTATGTAAAAATCATTATTATTATTTAATTTCTTAAACACTGTGTAGATTATTAGACTACAATGTCTTTAGATTAAAAAAATATCGACAGATTTTAAATGCTATGTAATATAATTTATGGAAAATTATTTGTTGAATTCATCCTGTATAATGCTTAAATGAAAAAAGCAAAACAGCGAGGTTGAGTCAAATTTCTTCGGAGCAACAAGAATGGCGAGAGTAATTTCTCGACATGACACTTCAAGTTCACTATATAGTCTGAGCCCTCTTTTTTTCAATAAGTGGGGGAAAAAGGTTGTGGGCTAGATTTGCCTTCACTTATATATGAGCTGTCTTACTTCTCATTTTCACTTTTCACTTTTATTTTCATTATTATTCGGATGACTAGTATATGTGCTTAGAATTATATATACAATTTATCTTCAAATCTACTAAATACACTCTCTCTCTCTCTTTCTCTCTCTCTCTCTCTCTCTCTCTCTCTCTCTCTCTTTTCTATGTATTTAAATTTTTATTTAATACCGTAAGAGAAAAATGAACCAAAAAAAAATTTTAATAAAAGTATTTTATTATAATTCTAAAAATAAACTGTATTTTTTATGTAATAATATAACTTTTTAAAGTTAACATCCCAAAAAGTATAATAATAAGTACTAAATAATTAAGAAATTAGAAAATTGAAAAAATTGAAAAAATTGAGAAAAATGAGAAAAATCTTACTGATGCTCTTAACTTAACATTACAGACACATATTACGCATTAATTATTAGATTTTCTTTTAAAATATATGTTGTATAAATTGTTATTCTCAGTACTATAAACAATTATATTACTAATTATAAAGTTAATCGTATTCGAATTTAAATGCGTAATAATTTGTATTAATTAACTTCGTTAACGTTTAACAAATTGAATAAAAATTATTGACGATAATGAATGGTGAAACAAAATTATAAATTTCAAATATTTGTTTAGTAAAGAAGTATATGTAAAATAAATTTTAAACTTTCATATGACAATTATATTTAACCAATTACATTTACACATATCGTCAAAAATAAATTTTATTCTTGAAGTTACCTTGGATTTAAAAACAAAAATCTTGCAATTCGAGTTTTATTACGCAATATATTTTAGAACTATTTGTGAAATAAATTTGAAGAAATAATCAAAAAGATGTAGAATATTCTTACTTTCTAGTTAAAAGCAGATTTTGTAATATATTTAGTAGAAGATAAAAGCATATATTTTATTAAATACAATCCATTGTATTTATCATAATTAATATCTTTTCATTAATTTATTTTATTCACTGAGTATATTGATCAGATCGTTGACATTATTAGGCCAAGTGCTTTTATTAATTTAATTATTTTCTTGATAGCAATTCGACTTTAAATAAGTTGATTCTACCTTACTTAATTCTATTTGCAATTCATTTATTATATCAAAATTAGATTTCTGTAATTTTATAATAGTAATGAATTCTGTAATGTCGCTATATAACGTATTTAATTGAAAATATAGTTATTATTTGCTTTAAAATATGAAAATTTTAATATTTTGCATATAATATAATAAACTTGAATTTTGTACAATATCTTGGAAAAAGTTGTAAGTTTTTTCATTTTAGATATCTGTAGTACAATGAGTAGAATACCGAATCGTAATGCCTCTACACTTTCAATTTAAATAACAGCTATTTAAAATTTAAATTTTTATAAAAAATAATAGGAAGAAAACTTTCCAATATGACAACGTTTTTTTTATAAGCACAATAAGATTTGTAACGCTTATATTCAACGTAAATAGGAAAAATCAATGAAAAAAGAAAATGTATTATTTTCCGTGTGGCCTATAATTTTCTAAGTTTCATTATTTCCAAAAATTTACAGAATATGTATTTTCATTGGTAACATAATATCGTAACATATCTTTCTATTTACATTTTATTATACCTTTTTGGTAACTAAATTTGAAGAAAGAAGTACTAATTTATTTACGAAATATTATTCTAATTATTAAATCTACATAATGATCTCTTCACCTTTAAGCCACATTTATTCTTTGAAAGATAATATATACATGTTAAATAGTACATTAAAAACGATCGTTATCCTACACAAACATGCAGTTAAGATTTCGAATAACTTCTCATCTTCCAACTACCTACCACGCTTCTCGACCCCTCCCTTTCTTCTTCTCTCTCTCTCTCTCTCTCTCTCTCTCTCTCACTCTCTCTCTCTCCTTCTGTCTCCGTAACGTTTGATGTCTCATTGAATCTCCTGACTCCATATCAATCTTTTATGAATGAGATCTCGTACCTCCTAGATACACGCTCTTACATATACATAGAATTGATAATATTCTAGCGAACATACATACAAACTCCTCGGAGGAGCGGGAGTGCGCACATGGCTAGAGTCGAAATAGTCCTTGGTGTGTGCGCATGTGTGTGCGCCGTTGAGCCGCTTTTTCCCGCGTAACTACAGGTGGGGACTATGAACATAAGCACGTATATACGCTTAACTGATGCGAGAAGAGCAAAGAGAGACGGAAAGGAGCCGATATAACGCGAAACTTGCCTCTCGCGCACTCAATAGTCCGCCTGCCCTCACGATTGTCAAATCTTACCAAAACAAAAATATCTTAAGAAAATAATAAACTAAGAGTGAAAAAGAGAGAGAGAGAGAGTGAAACAGAGAGAGAGAGAGAGAGAGAGAGAGACATAGAGTGAGTGACGTAAAAAAAAAACAGGAAAAAGAGAGGGAAAGGGTTTACTGTCCGCTCAGAGTCGGTTGTTTCTACTGTTTCGTGTATATCTCTTTTACCTTGCTCTGCTTAGGTTTCATTCGTTTCATTCAAAGTGTATTTCTAAAGTGTAAAGTTCAAACATATTTCAGTTACGTAGCTTATAGATTTCTTGAGCTAACAATCGATAAGTGACTTTGACGTTTAAAAGAAACTGAGAGACCAACATGAGCAAGTCGTGGAAGGGTTTGTTTTTTACATTTACATTATTCTACTATTCTCAGCGATATTCACATTATAAATATCATATCAAATACAAAGACATATATATATATATATATATATATATATATATATTCCTAAAAAATGGTTCTGAATGAATAACAAATAAAATCAATAAATCAAATAAATCAAATAAATCAATTTGCTTAAAACTAAATATTTATAACAGATAAAGGATAAGTTATTCAGATTTATGTCATTTATTTCATAGTAAGATTTATTAAGATAAGATTTATTTCATAATATAAAGAAATAAAAATATATTTAAAAAGCTTATTCTAAACAATAGCTTTAATTAGAGTAAATTTCAAAAAATAAATAATAAAAATATTACGAGAATTTTAATTTAAACATAGTTCAACATTATTCAACAGATATAAATTATAATTGCAAATTTACCCTTGAATAAGTGTTACCGGCTATGAAAAAAATAAATTAAAAGCTTTACCACAAATGAAACGAAATGTAATAAAAATTGTTAATGTCCGGGAACAATAAGAAATACGTAATACTTTGATTATCTATTATGACAATTTAAAAAACCTTATAAGACGTAATGAAAATCAAAGAAACATTATTTTGTTAAAAAAAAAATTTATCCTTATGATTTTATAATAGGATTTTGTAGAGGATATATTTTAAAATTATAAGTGTTTATTTAAGGATCGATATGATTATTAAAAATTAATTATTATTACTAACTCAAAATCTTAATTATGTTATATTAATTTAAAGTAAATCTATCGTAAATATTTGTACTTTCAATTTTTAAAAGAAAAATATATTATAATTGTTCATAGTTTTAGATAAATACACGTACCTAAAATTTTTACATTTTATCTTATCACCTGATTGAAAATTAATAGAGCTACTTTACATAATTTATGGCTTCAAAACAATTTTATCTTATCAGTATGTTTGGTAATATTTATTCACGGCAATGGCAAACATTCATATAAAATCTATGCGTAATTGTAACTATGATTAAATATACAAATACGATTAACTAAGATTGAGTTTACTGTATTCTTAAAATTCTTTGCTAAATAAAAAATAATAGATTAATAAAAAATATGAACTTAATGTTAATGTAATTGTTAACTTCAACATAACAAATCAATATGTATAACAAATTAATATGTATTCTTGTATTATAATATCTACTAGAAAATTGCGTGAATATAAAACAAAACTGTTGAAACAATTGTTTTGAAACAATTTTTAAATAATATCTCCTTTTTCTCTATTACGTCACTTTGGCATTTTAATGCTTTCGCATGCAAACTTATTTTAATCTGGAATTGAATTTTAGGAATTGAAAAATAATTTCTTCTTATGCTTATCCTTAATGTAAACAATTTATAAACGAATATTCAAATTTAAAATACTGCTCATGAGTAATTTTTATTAGTCAAGAATTGAAACTGCATTGTTGAATATTTGAGTACGCATCGAGTCATACATAATGAACAAATAAAGTTCGTGTATATATACGTTTCTTTATAGTTTATCCAATTGTTATAAGCAAATTTATAAATAAAACAATTTATAATGTAAGTAGATAGATAGTGATAATAATTGTTATCCGGTGAATTTAAAATGATTAAATGGCATTTTAAAAAGCTGTGAATTTATTATTCAAAAAACATTAGGCTTCTCATTTTGGCACAAAACATAATATATTTAATTAAAATAATACGAAGAAAGAGTTGTTTGAATTAGTAATCATTAGTGACTATTACTACTATTAGTTGACAAATTCGGTCGAGGATCCTGTGATAGACCTTCACTTCATCGATACATTCAATAAAATTTAATTATATACTTAATTATTTTGTTTCTATTAAATTGGAGCACGAAGATCTTACTCTTTTAATTTTAGTTAGATCTTTAACTAATACACTGTACTGTCTATAGATATACTGTAATTTGTTTTTAATTATCTCCAATTACCTAAATTTCATTAAAAATATTTCTACTTAATGTATTTAAATAACTATCGTAATTTGAAATTTGGACTGATTATGGAATTTCTTAGTATGAAAAAAATTAAAAATATCAATATAAAAATTATCATCTAAGATGTATAAAATTGCATTTCAATTTCGATATTGACGTTTCAACAAATCGAATAAACGAAACTTTGTATAATACATTTAGCTTGCCATAATTTTTGTAAAAACTTAAAAAACATATAGAAATACAAACTAATAAAAATATAAACATATAGAAATATATTCTTTCATTCTAGTAATGTAGAATGAAAATAAACTAGACCAACTTGTAATAATTCCCCTAAAATTGAAGATAGGTCATTTATAAAAACACTGAAACCAAAAATATTATAATAACTTATTCCATGTTCATAGAATAATCGATAGCAGATGTATAGACTGGTTCTTAATATAAAAAAAAAAAAAAAAAAAAAAAAAAAAAAAAAAAAAACGTAAATAGGAAAGAGTATTTAAGCAAAACGATGATAAGATACTAGTGAAACAGAATTATCAATTGATTAATCATTTATAGTACTGATATCGTAGTCGCATTTTATTACTGACAATCTTGCATTTCAAATAATAATAATTCACGAAATCATTAAAGCACTCGAACTGAATTTGTGATTAAATTAATTCTATTAAAAACTGAATGTTTTAAAATTAATTCTTGAAACATTCGTTTATGAATGGCTCGAAGATATAATTTATATACTGATAATTAATCATTTAAAATGTTTCCATTGAAAACTTATTAAGGACTGATACTTTGAATTATATTATTTATTGTCCTCACTTATCACTAATTTTAATTGAATAATTTTGAAACATACTACCCGCTTATCTGAAATTAAACAAAGATTTTCATTATATAAATAATCTTCTGTTATTCGAAAAGCATAGATTTAATAATAATGCTAAGAACTATTTATGATTACTTTTTTTTTTTATTATTTTTTCATTACAGTATGACGGAATATCAGTAATTATGATGTCGAAGTTCAGGTATCGATTCATTATGCATTATAAAACAATTTTGAATCTATTTACACGCAAAACATTCTATTTACTTGATAATCAATATACAATTTGATGAAAAATGTAGATGTAGAATTTTGCATTTTATTAAATAAAATAATATTTGTCTGTAGAATCCAACATCCATGCTAGGCGACATGTCCATTATATTTATATGATATAATTTACATGTACACTCATTTATTAGATATATTAAAAATACAATTGTAATAATTAATTTAACGTAAGTCGATTAGTAATTTTTATGAAAATTGAAAAATTTTGAAAAAAAAAACTCCAACCAAACGCACGTATAAATTGTTTGTTTCGTTGTCATTTCGCCCTTTTTATTAAAATCATTTAATGTATTTCTATGATAAATATCTATTAATCGATCGCTGCGATTATTAGGTGCTAAGGACTACGTGGGTGTCGAAGATGTAACGAAAGTAGGTTTTCTCATTCCACTATTCGCGGAGACTCTTGGGACCAGTCTCCTCGTTATAATCGGTTGCAGCTCCTGTATCAACTGGGGGACAGAACCGACAATATTACATATTGCCTTAACCTTCGGCCTCGCAGTCACCAGTCTTGCACACGTAAGTATTACTTTTTGTTCGTTATATTTACTAACTGGCAGCATTATGCGTTTTTACACTTTATCGTTATTTTTTATTTTTTTTTTTTATTTTTTTTTTTTGTTTTTGTTTTTTTTTGTTTTTCAAACTGGTTAAATGCATACTTGCATAGGTGAGTTTAAATAGCTGAAAATTTTACAAGTTTTAATAAACTCACCTCATCCATTTAGGAAAATATATAGAATTTATGGAGAATATGAATGGTGTTTCTTACATTCGAATGAAAGAATGTTTGAATTATCAGGAGCCATTGTATGCTAACTTAGATTGGGAGAACGATATTCAAATTTCGTATTGTTTTTACTTTTTTTTTAAGTTCATATTACGTTATTAATACTGCGCTTTATACGGTTTCATGTTGTCGGGGAATTTATGTATGTTCATGAATGTGTAATGCAATGAGATAATATTGTATAAAACAATATGATTTTGTTTATGCTCTTGAAGATTAAAAATATCTATATAAAATGTAATGTATGATACTTTTACTTTTAGAAAAATTAACTTTGTTTTTTCAATTCCACAAAGAATAGTTCGCAATAATAACGATATGAGATTTTGTAACAGCTAAATTTTCATAAAGAAAAAAATACAATCTATGAATAATATAATACATAGATTTTCAAACATATCCTGCACTAAACGAATAAATTACATTATGAAATTAAATTTAATACAATTTTTACAATTAATACATTAAATATACAAAATTTATACAATTGTCAAATATTTAATTTTTTATTACTGAAAATTTATTACGACATGAAATATTTTGAGCAAATTATTTTGCCTATTAAGAAAGCAAGAAATTGAATCCCAAATATATCAAGGTCTTAATTTGTTTATAAATTGTTATACATTATATATATTTTATTAATTTATCGACATTTAATAAATCTTTTATATATTTCAATAAAGTGAATTCATCTTTTACAAGAGAAGTTATTTATTAACTATGAAAGCTAAAATGGAGTATTTAAAAAATTATATGTATTATGTAAAATTAAACGGATTCTTGGTAATTTTAATACATTGTTTTAATTATTATTATTTAATTAAATTAAATGCATAAAATCTTTTTACTTTCCTTATTTATTAATTCGACTAATATATAATGCAATTACTTATCATCATTTGATTATCGAATAACAAAAGTTGTAGATTAAATTCATCCACTTATTAAATAATTATTCTATTTCCCCGTAAATGAATTTTTTAATTTAAGTTTTTGTTTAAATTTATTTGTAATAAATTTTAATAAATAATAATTAATAATAAAGTATTTAAGTACTATTTTTAATAAAAACTTGAATAACTTAATCATTTTTAATTCTTCTTTGGATATGAAAAAAGTTTTATATTAATTCAAAAAAGAATTTCAATGTTTTGAAGCTTTATCAAGTGGACTCTTATTCATTAATACTAATAATGTATATCACGTGGATATATTTATTTAATATAGTTTTCAAGAAATAAAAAATCAACCAATAAAGAATTGTCGGAACAATGACCGTAATAAAAAGCAATACAAAGAGAATCTAGTGGTTAATACATAAGTACAAGTCGTTGTAATAAATATCGATATATATAACTGGAAGTAAATTAATATATTAATAAATTAATAATTGACTAATAATTCGTATTAAATGCACGTATATATTTATACGGGGTACGCGTGCACGTGCGCGCGTGTATGACATTACTTGAAAAGTGTATGTTTATAACAATTGTTTCATTAAGGTAAAACATAATGAATTATAATTTTAGTAACAAATAAAGAGTACGAAAGCCAACAAAATACGATTTTTTAATTTAGTATAAATATGTATTTGCAATAAAAATATGTTAAAGAATTTTTATAGTAAAAATTAAACGATTCAAAAATAATATTATGATTATTATAATAATATTATATCTTTTCATTAGTGCATAAAAGTCTCGATAGCTTCGATTTTATCCTGTGAAAAAATTATATATGTACATTATTAAATTTCTTCATTTAGCAATTTTTTAAAAACAAATGCCAAAAAATATATATAAAAAACTTTACATCTCTTATTAAAGATCAGTATTTGATGAAAATAGCCTTTTCCGTTCTTCTTAGTTCCTTTGTATTTTGTATATTTTGTATATTTACGATATTTATTATTATTGAATTTATTATTGAAATAAAATTTTTATCTATATTTGTAAATAAATGCAACGAATAAGAAAATTTCTCTAAATTTCTAGCAGATTTTTATCAGTACGTAATCAAGTACAGTTGAAAGTATGTTATATTTCTTAATTTTTATAAACTTGTATAGTTAAATACTTATAATATAAAAATGAATATATGTAATTACTTAAATAAAATAGATCTAAGTGTACATTAATACGTTATATCGTTGAGCAAAGAATATTTTAATTATTTTTCATGGTACTTCTTTAAAGTTCTTTAATTTATTAATTTTTAAAATACTATTTATTTATTAAATACTAAGTCAATTCATAAAATTTAGAAAGTATACAATAAAAATATTAATTAATTTGATAAAGGATAGCATTTACATATACGTATAGTGTAGAATAAATTAAAAATTTATGAATGTACTTTTATAAAATTCTATAAAAGTATGGAAATTAGTTAATATGCTTATAAATAAAAGTTTATGGATATTATCATTTTAATCAAATGTATTGATATTTTTGTAATAAACTTTTATAAAATATTAACTTATATAAAATTTACTAAAGCTAAACATCTAGCATTATCAATAATAAATAAATTTTTAATCTAAAAATTGATTAAAATAACAATTATTATATTTAAATGCAATGAGAATGAAATAATAGTTAAACATAAAATGTTGAAATAAGCTTTTATTGTTGAAAATGTAATTCGCATTAACTTTAATATATGAAGTGTAATATTTACAAGCCTTCCTGTTCTTATAATCTACATATTTTTATAATTATAACTACTACATATAATTAGATAAATTAGCTACATTTGATACTTTTAATTCTTCAAAATAATTTGTCAATTTATCAATCCTTTATTAATATCTCTCATATAGAAATTGTAAACGAACATCGGTTCTCTCGTTCGTTCGTCTCTGGCATCTTATTTTACAATACACGCTACACATTTAGGCACGAATGTTGCGTGAGAGAAAGAGAAGAAATGAGATAGGTAGGAAAGTGTCGTAGTGAGTCGAGGCAGCGTCGACGGAATGTTCATGAACGAGAGGAAAAGAGGATATCCATTCACCAAAACTTCACCGCCTGTCTTCGTCTTA